AAAACCTTTTCCCAACAGGGTGAAAAGAAAACCTACAGACTGGGAATTAGCATATGGACCTCCACAAGAAAAACACTGATAACCCAATTACAAAATTGGCAAAAGACATGGAAACGATTTTCACAGAGGAACAGACACATGAAGAAATGATCCAAATCACTTGCACTAAGAGAGGTGCAAGTCAAAATACAATAAGGTACCATCCCACTCCAGTAAAAGTGACAAAGTTTAACAGGGCAGCAAATAATAAATGTTGGAGAGGATGGGGCAAGAAAGAAACTCTTATATATTGTTGGTTGGATTGCAAAATGGTACAACCATTCTGGAAGGTAGTTTGGTGTTTCCTCAAAGAGCTGAACATAGAAATTCCATATGACACAGTATACGCTGAGAAAGTGAGAACTGAGGCACAAATGGAGATTTGTACACCGGTGTTCATAGAAGTATTATTCACCATTGCAAGAACGTGGAAACAGTGCAAATATCCAACCACAAATGAATAAATTGAGAAATTGTGGTATACTAACACAATGGAATACGATACAATATTCAGGAGCAATGATTTTGTAAATTATTACCTAACTTGGGAGGGACTGGAAAGGGACTGTGGAGTGAACCAACTCAGTTCTACAAGGACAAATATTGTATAAAACCATTCTTGTAGAATGTGTATAAGGATCCAAGAGGTCTGGGAGACGGTGGAAGCAGAGGGATGAGGATTGTGAGGGAGGGGGCAGTTAATAATGGGGTTGTGCAATTTGATGGGTGAGGAGGATGAGGGAATTTGAAAGAATCTGTTCTTGAAAACAATGCATTTGAATTTTGTAAATAAACTAGTATAAAATTTTAAAATGCATTGATTAAAAAATGATAAATGTGAATTCAATTAAAACATATAACTGAGAAAAATATGTTCAAAAATTTAAATGTTAATTCAATTATATAAAATTGATAGAAACATCTTCAAAAAGGTAAACACTAATCCATGAAAGATGCATTTCTTTTCCTGGTAAATAAACAAATTAAAGTACTTTACTAAAGAAAGGAAAATAGAATTCTAGGACAAAGCAACCAGTTTTGCAGGCTAGAGGCAACTGAAATTTATTTTACAACTATTCTAACTGACATGTTTAAATAATCCTGAATTTATTAATACTATCCTGAGAATAGGAATCCCAGAACACTTGATTGTGCTCATGTGAAACCTGTACTTGGACCAGGAAGCAGTCATCTGAACAGAGCAAGGAAACACTGCATGGTTCAAAACTGGGAAGGGTGTATG